GGTCGGGCTGCGGGGCGGGACGAGACGCGGGGGGAGCCTCAGCCCCTCCGTCACCGCCGGTCGTAAGGGCCGTGCCTGTTTGTTTGTTTGTTTGCCTGTTTACCTCCCGGGGTTTGCGGGCTCCCTGGGCTCCCGGAGCGGCCAGCGCACCTGCCCCGCCCTGAGAGCGCCCCAGAGGTAACAACTGAGGGGTTTTCCCCTTTGGGAAGAGGCACAGGGTTATCCCCGCTTTGTTCCTTGGCCGTGGAGATATTGCGTTGCCTAAAATTGTGGTTTTAAAGAGCGTGCCTCAGTTGTGAGGCAGCGAGGGTTCCTGCCCTACGTGCAGACGCCGGACGGCCCCATGGGCGCGGGCTGCGAAGCTTCCTGAGCAGCTGAGAAACGGTGTAAAACGAGTCTTCTTGCGTGATGTTTTTATGTGTAGTTATAGGACGAGGGGTTACGGTTTTAAGCTGAAAGAGTAGATTTAGATTAGCTATTAGGAAGAAATTCTTTACTGTCAGGGTGATGAGACGCTGGAACAGGCTGCCCAGGCAACTTGTAGATGCCCCTTTCCTGGAAGTGTTCAAGGCCAGGTTGGATGGGCCTGGTCTAGCAGGTGTCCTAGATTATTTTTAAGGCCCACTCTAACCCATACCGTTCTGTGAGTCTATGATTTGTGCTCTTGTACCTGAACAGAGGTTTCTGGCAACAAACAAATGGTATTCACTTTGGCCTCTTGTGTTTGCAAGTGCATGTTTTGAATTCAGGGAACTGCGGCACTTGCTGTTGCTGAACTGTGTATTTATTTCATTTACAGACTGTGGTTAGGCAGGAGAATAAATATGAGTACTGTGGTTCTGTGAATAAAGATAGAAGAAGAACTGTTATAGGTTAGACAGGAAGTTTGGAGGCATGGGAGGTGTCTCCAGAGGACTAATTATCAATGTCTTAGAAGTGTTTCATAATGTTGTGTGCTGTGTTGAAGCGAATGGATAAACATGATACTGAAATGACAGAAGTAAAAAAGTTGTCTGCTGTGATTGTGGCAGTGCTGGGGTAATACTGACATTTTTCCAAAATCTCCCAAATGCAAGCAAGAGAACAGAAAAATTAAAGCTTTTTAGGAAAAGATTTATGATAGGTAGTGGTGTGGTTTTAAATCTATTTTAAAAGATTCACTTAATTCAATTATTTCAGTCAGTGCAAATTTATCAGTGCAGGCACTAAAATTTCACCTACCTTAAAATATGAATTTTGTGTTACTGCTGCAATGGGTGCCACAACAAATTTGTATGGGGTTTGTGATTGCTATAGAAGCTTAATGTTCTTTGTGGATTCTGGCATAATTTTTGCACTAAAGATACTACATGGTCTACCTATTAAGACTGGAAATTATGTCTTAGGCAGAAGTAACATACAGAATGTTATTGTTGTGTGTTGTCAAAGCCAGTTTGTGTGTTTTCTTAACTTTAGTTAAGTTTTTCTTTGATAAATCAAATGTGAAGGCAGTAACATTGCTAATACCTAAAATGGTATATATGTGTGAGTGCTTTTGCCTGGCCTAAATTGCCTTGTTCATTAGTGCTTGTCTCGTGTTAACTGCACTTTCTTTGAACTTTTGTGCAGTGGTTAAGATGCAGCCTTGATTAGTGGACTAAAGATCATGGCTCTTTTACAGTCAAAATAAAAGAGTTACTTGCTAACGTGATCACTTATGAACTTTAGAAGCAGTTGGTTACTGAGTTGTATTAAAGCCCATGTCACAACGAGTAATACTATCTTGATGGAGTTAGAACTGTATCTGGTATTGAAAGGAGAGTTACTGTGACGTAGGAAAGGAGGCAAGCAGAGAATTAATTGGAGATACTCACTAAAATCAACAGTAACATGTAATTGTATGAAAAATTGCTTTAAACTTTTCTTGTAATTGAAACATAGCCTGATAAATTGAGGATTTTAAAGACCTGTTTGATTAGAGCATTTTATATGGAGTGAAATGAAATAAACATGGTTCATTGTGATCTTTGCTGTAAATCATGACCTTTGCTATCATGACATTTGCTGTAAAAAGATAGGAAAGAAAACTGCTACAGGTTTTCTGCTGTAATCTTCAAATCAATCATTACTTTTCCTTTTTCTTAAATACAGAATGTCAGTGGCTGCTTACTGTATATTTTGCTACAGACAAATAGGAACTTCTGGTCCAGCCACAAAAACACACCTACCATGGAATGATATCAGTAAGTAAAGCTCTGTTTGTATTGTTCTGAGGTGTTAATAAAAATGTGTTAATCTGTGTGGATATGACACCATGTATAATTATTGGCACAAAACCTAAGTACCAGAAAACTTTGGGCTCAAAAGCTTTTATTTGCCTAAAGTGGATGCTTTGCTTCTGGCCTTGCTTTGTGTAGTGATATGTAAAATGACACCAGCAGATTATCTGTGATTAGAATAGGAGATGAGGGTGTCCCTCCCCAGATGCAATACTATTAAACTATCTTAAACTCTGTTTTGTATCTGTTGTTTGGGCTTTTTTTTACCTCAAGCCATGAAACAATTACAACCATAAAGTTTGAATAAATTTTTTTTTGGTATTTTTTTCCTCCTTATTTACTGGTAGTAGTTCAGCACTCTTCACCGCTTAGTCTCTGCTTTCTTTGATGCCTTCTGTATAGAATGACAGTTCTTATGGTTCTAAAGTTTATTTTTGAGTGTTAAAAGATAGGATATTTCCGTTTCTGCTCTACAGGAAGCATTGCATTTTTTTGCCTTTTCAACCTTCTCTGCCAGTTATTTCTTCAACATGTATCTGCCTCTTGTCTGCATGCCAAAATTCTTATGGTCTCACAAAGACAGAACCTGGTGGTGGTGGTGGTTGTGGGGCAAATGTCCCAATTC